TTTTAGCTATTCAACCGGTTTTTTGCACCTTGCGAGTTTTTGGGTTGAACCAGACCGGACCACCCACCGGTTCCCGGTTAAACCGGTTGGACCGGCCGGTCCGGTCCGGGTTTCAAAACATTGATGCAAACTATTATGAAATATGTGCAGTTAATAATATGTAAGGAGGCACATTAATTCTTTAGAATTTTGTTAGAGACGTATTATTTCCACCCTCAAGATATCTTATTTCACCACCAAATTACATATATTTCCTATTTTGCCATTTTCTTCCTCTTTCAAACATATTTTGTACAAATTTAAAAATTGTTCACCACCAAAATAATTAGAATATTCACAAAAAAATATTTCACTATTTTTCACTAGAATCTTTACCACAAAGTCTCATCTTCTCTACCTTAAGTGAACGACACATTCGTCAGAGAAAAACCCGGAAGGTAACAACGAGCAAGAATTCACATTCTTAGAGAAATAAATTAAATTGAGAATGTTTGTGTAGAAATAATTAAAAAGAAAAAAAAAGGGTAAAAAAAAACCCCGATATTTTTGATATTGTTATTTTCGTTGGATTAAAATTTGAAAATTAAGTTACATTTCATTCGGCGCAATCCCCCCAGAAACTGATTCAAATCAAACGATTATTAAAATCTTGTTTTACCATTTGAAATTGTTTTTTTGCATTAACACATGTTACATTCAGGAAATAGGAGGAATAAGCATGGGAGGATGGTGGATTAGAAATTTTAAGGGTACTTTTTATATTGTATATAAATTTGGTGGTGAATTCAGATATTTTGGAAGTAGAAATAGCACCACTCTTTTGTTATTGCATGAACACATATTGATTACATGTTATATATTGAATTTATATAATTCATTATGTTGGATATATATTAATTTATGCCATAAAATATTATGTCCAAACTTGATTTATTATTTCATTCTATGATTAGGTGCTATATTTTCTCTTTTTTTCCCTACTCTTCTTCTTCTTTGTACATATGAAAAAGGTCGTCACTTATATCATCAACGGGATTGAAGTCGTATATACATTAATACCCTTTTTTATTTTTTATTTTTTCTTACAGTAAATCGGGTAAGAAATGAAGCGAGAGAAAAACAACACCCAGTTTGTTTTGCGTTTAATTTCTTCAAATATGTCATGAGTGTGCGTAGATCTGTCAGAATTTTCTGTTGCTTTTGACAAGATTACAATTTGTTAGGAACAAAGTATGAATTTCCAGATTCTTTATCTTCTCTCTTCTCTGTGTTTTTTTCTTTTCTCTATTTTCTGCTTGTTATATGTTAATGCAGTTCTTCAGTAATGTTGTTAATGAAGGATTCTAGTTCTTGAAACTGGGAGACTGGGAGATCGAACTCCCATTATAGTTGACAAAGTGTGGTGTGGCGACGGTGTGGTGACGATGGGGAGGCATATTTAGGATTTTATGGTGGATCAGACGGATAACGACGCGGGTAAAGAAATTCTTGCAGGCTGGAACCTTAATCGACTATGTTCGTGTTCATAGTCGATTAAGGTAATTGACTATGCTCTGGCAGTCAATTAAGGTTAATCGATTCCAATATTTTTATTTTTTTTGATTTTTTTGTTTATTGATTCAATTGTATAAATCAATTATAATGTTTGTATATTTTTTGTTTTTGCGGAAATATAGTTGATTTTTGTATTTTTTTGTAGTTGTGATTTGTTATTATTTAGTAATGAGTTTCTTAATCGACTATGCTTATATCTCATAGTCGATTAATACATCTGATAAAGAAGAAAAGATTAAAAACGAAAAAAAAACAATTTAAAAATTCAAAAAGAAAAAAAAAAAAAAGGCTGATGAGGTGGGGCGTAATTGGTGATAGTGTTGATGAGGTGGCATGGGCATAATTGAAAAAATTGGTGACTGAAATTTGGAATTGACTTTTCTCAAATGGTGCAAAATAGTTTGGGCTTCCCTATTGAAAAAAGTATTGAGAGGGTTATATCAAAGAGCTCCCTATATATATACTTATACTTATTTGAAATTTATAATCAACAACCCTTCTTTATATTCACTTAATCCTCACGTGTTCTAAGTTATTCATAATTTATTTTATTTTATTATTTTTATTTTTTTATAGTTTTTTATAATTTTTGTATTATTTTTTTTATTTTTAGAATGAAATATTTATTAACAAGATATTTAAACTTACATATCATATGACCAACCTATTATGTAATTTTATTTGTTAGGAAACGAAGAAGTTCAGGAACTTCCGTACACGCAATCTTAATTTATTTCTAAAAAAATGTGAGCTCGTGCTCTTTTTGAGCTTCCAAAATGTTTTTCTCCGACGAAAGTATTACTCACTTAAGGTGGAGAGGGTGTGATTTTCAGTGAAAATGTAAGATTTTTTTATAAATATTTTAATTAGTTTAATAGTAGATGGTTTATAAATTTATAAAAATCACAGATGAAAGAAGAAGAAAAGATTAATATTAAAAATATATTTAATTTAATGATGAACTAAAAAATATTTTAAAAGTGGAAATAGCTCATATCTTCCAACTGTTTGGAAAAAAACAAAGAAACAAATTAAATCACGGGATTAATAATTATGGATAGGAATGAAGTTACCAGTACCACCAAATATATTCCTCTGCTTCACTTTCACGGGAAATGATGCAAAACATTCACCAAAATCAATAATTTAATTATAGTATTAACAAATTCGCCCAGATTAAATAATTCCAGAAACCATACCCCAAACGAATATTCATCAACAGTATGTGTTTCGTCCTGTTTCAAAGATTTGTTCGACCCTACACCCGGTGATAAACACCGGGTGTAGGGTCGAACAAATCTTTGAAACAGGACGAAACACATACTGTTGATGAATATTCGTTTGGGGTATGGTTTCTGGAATTATTTAATCGGGGGGGAATTTGTTAATACTATAGGGTAAAGGGGGTGATTTTGGTGAATGTGGATAGAGGGCATTTCCCGTGAAAGTGAAGCAGAC